ACCTCTGGGGGTCCACGCTGGGAGAGATCACGGCGTCGCAGGTCTGGGCGGGGCGGCGTGGCGAGGGGTGGGGGTGGTGGAGGGTTGGAAGGGCTGACGCGACGGATGACACCGGCCGAACGCCGCGGAGAGGGACGAGGGGGGGAGGGAGGAGTACAAAAACAGAGCCAGGACATCTGCCAGATGCTGCAGCACACCCTCCCGTCCCAAGTCACTCCCTCGAAGGTCCCCACAAGCACTGCTTTGGACCGCGGGAGGGTGTTCCCTCTTGAAAGGCGAGCGCCACACATGGGCCTGCCGCTCCAACGGGAGGGCCTCGTTTCGAGAAGGAACCGCCCCCCCCCTCTCATGATATGGTGCGAAGAAGGTGCCCGTCGGTCGGAGGAGATGGGTGCTAACATGATCCTACGAAGGCGCTGAAATGGAGGAGCGAATAATGACATAAACATGAAATCGCGGAGGTCCGCGCGGACCTCCGAGTTTTATGCCAGTTTTCGTTCCCCGATGGAAGTAGATTGGACTTTCTCCCGCCCCCTGATGGGGAAGGAAAAAGGAGCAGCACTGGATGATTGAAGTAGGAGGGCGCCTGAAGCGGATTGGGATCTTGGCATCGAGAAGTACCTACCTTCAACGACCGACGGGTAAGGCTATGGGACTTGCGGGGATGTCCAACAAGTACCCACTTTTGAATAGGAGCCGCACCCCCTCGAGCTGCCACGCAAGCACAACCTTTTGGCAGTTGAGCCTCTCGCACGTCTCAAGCGCTATCCAATTTTGGAAGGGGGCCGCTCTCCGCTGGTGTAGCTGTTACAAGCTTTACAATCGAATGCGCGCGCGGCGTGAGAATCAGAAAGCCGTTCGAAAAAAACATTCACACTTCATCCGTGCAGCGGTAGCCAACTTCCAAGCGCATGCGCAAGCGCTATAAGGATACGGCGATAAAAGAAATGGCCCTCCCTCGATTCTCGCAGCTGCTACAAACTGTAGATCTTAACACGAATGTGCGCGGCGATGCGGCAAGACCAACACTTCGATTTCTCGATCTTCTCCACCCGTGTGGGTGGTGGGGAAGCCTCATGTTCAGCAATCGTGAGTCACATCAAGCGAATTGCTTGGCCCGCCCTGCTGACACGTCGCGCTGTGCCACAGGGGGGAACTGTATATCAGCAGGAAGGATGGAGGAGGACGGCGAAGAGGGACAAACACAATATTTTTTGTTGGTCGGCGGGGCGAGAACGAACCTCTTCCGCTAAAAGCTAGGCGGGCTACGCACAGCTTTAATTAGGGAAAAAGGGCGCAGGAAGGCGGGGACCCAGGCGGTCGGAGTGGGCGGAGCCTGGGGTGCAGGCGGTGCCGAAGAGCTTTCGCTAGAAAAAGTACGCCGCGGACAGGGACCGGGGGCGAAGACCCGGAAGGCGAAGGAGATGGTGCTGCCGTCAACGGCACGTCGCGAACACCAGCCTCAAGCACTGCAGAGGAGGAAGAGGGACAAACACAGGAGCATATAAAGAGGGACATCTGATGAGGGATAATGTCAAGAAGAGGAGGGGGCGGAAATAATTCCGTGAGACCTGTAGTAGGACCTGCTCGAGCCTCGGCCACACCCCTAAAGCAATCTCCTCCTGTCCACACTCTTCTTCCCCTCCCCCATCTTCCTTTGCATAATCCCTCCCCCCCGTGTCCTCCTCCTGCGTCCCTGTTTCCCCGCCTGGCCAAGAAGCCATCGCCAGGGTGGAGGCCCGCGATTACCTCGAGCACAGTAGGCGTCGTTGTGATATCCCATCCGGTTTCGTGTACCCGCCGCGAGGTCGTCGCTGCAGCGCTACAGCAAGGCTTGATGGGGTCCGCAACGCTCACAAGCCCCCTGGATCCGTTTGACGACGGTCTGGATCTGCAGTGGCGGGGGAGGTGGCCTGGCAATTCACGCGGCTCCCCGCCGCTCGCGCCAGAGATGCCGTATGATCGACCTGGCCCAGTAACAGAGCTCCTCCTCCTCCTCCTCCGTCTCCTCCTCCTAACGTCGGATTGACGTCGTCCTCCTCCTCCTCCTCCTCTTCCTCCTCCTCCTCCTCCTCTCCTCCTCCTCCCTCCTCCTCCTCCTCCTCCTCCTGTCCTCCTCCTCCTCCTCCTCCTCCTCCTCCTCCTCCTCCTCTCCTCCTCCTCCTCCTCCTCCTCCTCCTCCTCCTCCTCCTCCTCCTCCTCCTCCTCCCTCCTCCCTCCTCCTCCTCCTCCTCCTCCTCCTCCTCCTCCTCCTCCTCCTCCTCCTCCTCCTCCTCCTCCTCCTCCTCCTCCTCCTCCTCCTCCTCCTCCTCCTCCTCCTCCTCCTAACGTCGGCTTGAGGATCTCGCTCCGCAGCAGCAGACCGCCCGCCTCAGTGTCCCTCGGGCCGGGCCGCCTGGCCGATTCGCTCGCGCGCACGCCAGCGGAGCTCGCGGTGGTACGACACCGCAGACCTCTCGCATCGACGCAGCTCCGTAGTTGGATCCAGGTCGCCACATCGGTGTGTGCAACTGTCGCGAATCTGACTCCGCTCTGGCCAGGGCTGGGCCACTCGGGAGCAGAGCGGGTGAAGCCTGCCCGCCCCCCGCCGCGCAGCAGCAGTTCAGCATCCTGGGCACGCGTGGCACCAGGGTCGTAGTTTTGGAATTGGAATTTGTGGCACAAGGCCACAGAATCGGGCGTGGTCCTGGAGGATCTGCCGTGGGCGGCCGTTCTCGATTGCGTGGGCTGTCTACCTGAACTGCAAGTTCTATCAAGCCGAAGGCGAACGCCAGGACTGCCAGAAGTCTGCGCAGGCAACCGGACAGGCCCAAGTAGTTACTCTTGATAATTGGCAATGCGTCCTTGCAAAACTCCCAAATGCAACGCCCTCCAAACGGAATGAGTCTGCGCAGCCAAACGCGCAGACTGCCTGAGATACCCCAGTAACCTAGGCGCGAACGGGCAAGTGTCATACCCCCCAGCGCCCCTCCCCCAGTGGGTTGCCCGAGTGCCACGCCTGCCATATCGCGACGAGCGTGATGCCCTCTCGTCTGAGCAACCCAACGCGCCAGCCGCCTGAGATATCTCCACAATCTGGGCTCGAACAGGCGAGTGCCATACCCATGTGGCGGCTCCTCCTCGGGGTGCCCAAGGGCCACGCGTGCTATATCACTTGGCTCTGAGAGGGGATGAGTCTGATTAGCCAAACACGCAGACCTCTTTTGAGACATCCCCACAACCTGGCCGCGACTGTGCAAGTATCTAACCCCTTGGCGGCTCTTCCTCGCGGTGCCCAAGTGCCACGCCTGTTATATCGCGGCGACCTCTGGGCTTTCAAGAGGGACGCGTCGGATCAACCAAACACGCAATCCGCCTCAGGCATCCCAGTCGGACCGCGACCGGGCAGGGATCAATCCCTCTGGCGGCTCACCACTGAGGTGCTCAAGTGCCGCGCCCGCCGTATCGCTGTCATCACTGGGCCCTCGAAAGACATGGGACTGACCAACCAAACGCGTAAACGGCCTGATGTATCTCCACCATATGGCCGCGAACAGGGAAGTGTCATACCCCCGTGGCGGCTCCTCCTCGGGGCGCCCGAGTGCCCACATGCTACGCCTGCTGCAGCGCCGTGCTAACGGGGATCTCAGACTGCGTTCGTTTGATCACCCAGGCGCGCAGACCGCCTGAGACACCCCCACAATCTGGCTGAGAGAAGGCAAATGTCATGACCCTGTGGCGGTTCCTCCTTGGGGAGCCCACATGCCACGCCTGCTTGATCGCGGCGGTCAATGGCTCTTGACTGAGAGTGTGAGTGGATCTCCATGTGCGTGAGTCCGAATGTGAGTGAGTCTGAGTGGGAATCAGTGCATGTGCATGGCCATGTGTGTGTGTGTGCCTGGGTGTGAGTATGGCTGCGCTGGGCATGAGCTTGATCGAGTGTGGGCGAGTCCGAGCGCGAGTGAGTCTGAGTGTGAGCGGGTCTGGGTCTCAACGAGACTGGGTGTGAGAGCCTGAGTGATGAGTACGGCTAGGCTGGATCTGAATGTGTACGTATGTGAATCTGAGTGATCATGTCTGAGTACGAGTGGCCTGAGAAGAAGCAGGCGGGAGGAATAGAGGAAGGGATGCGGAGGTGTCACACAGATGCTAAGAAGCCCAGACTTCAGCCATGGGGAATACATGAACTTTCGGACGTCCGCTCGGGCTTCTCGGATTGGCGTAGGACCTCGCGCACCAGTGATGGGGGTCCAGCGCCGATCCAAAAAATCCGCGCGGACCTCAGTAAGTTTCTGGTCGGGAACTTCTGCTGAACGAGTCGCGGCGGCGGCCATAGCGACACGTCACGCCCCGCAAGCGGGTAGCGTGTTGCTCTGCTCCGCGGGGCGGGAGGCAGGGAATGGCTTGGGACGTTGACGCTCGGACGTGGGGAAATGGTTGGCGTGTCGCGCTGGGGCGAGGTGGGTCAGAGCCGGAGGCGCGATTTGCTAAGCCAACATTCCTGACCGTGTGCTTCTTCATTCCCAGACCCCCGACGTCGTGTTTTTTTCGCAACGTCGACCCCCAGAGGTCGGGACCCGTTCCCCTAAGACTGGCTTTTCATCCTGAGTCGTTTTTTGGCAGTCCTTAGGCCAGGCAAGGGGCGCCCGAGGCCGAAAATGGCGAAACACCTCCGTCGTTTTTTTTTTTTTTTTTTTTTTTTTTGTTTGTGTTTTTTTTGTTGGTTGTTTGTTTTTTTTTTGTTTTGTTTTGTGTTGTTTGTTTTTTTTGTTGTGTTATCACTATGTTTAGAAATTCTATTTTGTTATTGCTTGTTTTTTCTTCTCACGACGCGAGGGGGTCTGGATTTCTTCTTCTTCTTCGGTCGCCGTGGGGGCGCAGGCGGGCTGACCGCCCTGCGGCCGGGGCGGTGCCGGCGCCCTCGGGCGGCATGTGGCCGGCGGCGCGGTGCTCGCCTTCGCGGGCGCCTCGCTGGAGAGACAAGGCCGGGGGAGCCGTGCCCCCCAGACATTTTTGTTTTTCTGGTCTGCGGGTCGGGAGCGGGCTCCTTCCGGTCAAGGGCTAAACGGGGCGCGGGTAGCCCTAATTGGGGAGACAGGGCGCGGGCGGGCGGGGCCTCAGGCGGCCGGAGGGCTCAGAGTACAGGCGGTGCCGAAGATCTTGCACAGGACAAGGTGTACGCCATGGACTGGAGCAGGGCCGTGCCCCCCAGACAGCCGACGTCCCGAAACATCAGCACGAGCGTGCTGCATCGCTTTCGGCCGCGGGGGGCCCTTGCTCGGCCCCAGGAGACTATCAACAAAACGGCTCGGGGGGGGGGAACAAAAAAAGCTGGCCCGGGGGAGGGGGCCGGAACATCCAGGGGACCTCGCGCGGAACCGATCGAGGCATCGGATGTCTGGGTGTCTACCTCCCGTGCGGGGGGGCCATCGTATCGTCGATCCGTCGAGAGGGGTGCCGAGGTCCCTGGTCCCCCAGGAGGGCGGGGGCCACAGCTCCCCCCCTCGTGGCCAGTGTCAGCCTTGCCGCCGCCGCCGCTCTTGACAGAGGTGTGCGCGAAGAGTGGCGCGAGGAGGACCGCGGCGCAGCACTCCTAGAGCGTCGTGCTGTCGCCCGCGGGATCGCCGGTGGAGTTCTGGGGGAGGCAGGCCGCATCCTCTCCTGGGGCTCCGGGTACGGGCTCACGCAGGACTCGATGGCCGCCAGCAGGAGTATCGCGACCGCCGCGCAGCGCAGGCTCCGCCGCCCTGGAGATCTCGAGCTCTTCGAGGGGGAAGTGGAACAGGCAATTGTGATGCATCGGCACGAGAGCATCGCCATGAAGGTGATTGGAATGTAGCTAGGAAGCGGGTGAATGACCAGACCTGGTCGACTGAACTTTCGTGTCGTGTAGTGTTGTCAAACGTCCGAGTGAGTTCGGGCGCTCTTGAATGTTCTTGAGCAGGACAGCGATGATGGGGAACCCTCTCCTTCCCCCGCTTCCCCAGCCTGCCACCACCCCCTCCCCAGACTCCTCGTCCTGCTCCTGCTCCTCCCTACCCTTCTGATCTTTCTCGTTCCCTTCCATGCCCTGTGCCTCGGATGCTCAGTTCGCCCTCGCTCTTGGATGCTCCGTAGCACATGACAGGGCATCGTCGCAGCAAAGCAAGCGCATGCAGCGATGCCTTCGGGGAAGCCTTCCAGGATGCCTCTGGGGGGGCCCTCTGGGAGTCTTCGGGTCATCTGCGCAGGCGGCTCGAGGTCATCGACAGGTCCTGGGGCCGTCGGTGGGTATCTCTGGGCCGTCCGAAGGGATCTTGGGGCATCCTTGGGCTGGTCTTGGATGTCATTTTTCGGTGCGCGCCCCAGGGTCCCCAAGGGTAGTCTTGCGCTCTGGAGATTTTCTGCTGTGGTACCAGGCCCCCCCAAAGCCAAACCGATGGTGGCAGGCGATTAAGAAAAGATTTCTGGGGGACGATTTGAACGAATAGTTTCGCCGGCTCGGCCCCACAGAGGGCGGACAAGTCGGGTTAGCCCCCCAGCCGTCTGGGAGGCCAGTGGAGGCCCGAGGGCGGCCGACAATTCGGAACGGCGGGGATGACACTTCGGACTGGTCAGAGGCACCCCCTGCCCCCTGGCGCCGGACGACGACGACGACGACGACGACGACGACGACGATGGCGGCGGACAGCGGATGGCACACGGGGGGGGTGCTGCGTGTGCGTCCTGCAGTCCCGAAGGACGAGACGACGACAGCGAAGACGCCGACGGACTGCGGATGGCACTTGGGGTGGGTGGGTGCTGCGTGGGCGTCCTGCAGTCCTGGGGCGATGCGGGACGACGACGACGACCACGACGGCAACGACGACGACGACGAGATGACTACCGACATGTTAACCACGGCTGACGCGACGCCCAACAACATCTGTCGGGGACGCCCAACAACATCTGTCGGGGGGGCGGAAGGGGGACGATAAAAAATAATTTGGCCCCCCCAGATGTTTTTCGTCTGCGGGAGCTGGGAAGTGGGTCCATTTTTACTCGTCCTCACGGATTGCAAGAAAAACGCCCAGATTTAAACAACGACATCGTCGGAGGGCTGTCTTGGCAAGCTCTCGGGCTGTCTTGCAGTTGCTCTGCAGGGCGTCTGTGGGTGCGCCTGTGAACCTGGGTTCATCCAGGGAACTTACTGGGTCGTCTTGGGTTGCTGTCTGCGGCAAAGCCAAGACGACGTCCGACTTGCGTCCCGACCGACCACGTCGCACTTCCGGATCTCCGACGATGTGTTTTGTTTTCAGCCTACGTTGTTTCCCAGATTTCGGCCCTCTGTGGTCGTTGTCGGTTCCTGGGGCTATCAAACATTGAACTGTGACGCAAAACGACCCTCGGGGAAGCGGTCGGGACCTTTGGGCCGCGGACTGAAACAAAAACATCGGCGGATGTCAGTGCTTGAGGCAACATGACGACCGTAACTTTCCAAGACCATCCGCATCAGAAAGCTACGTCACATCAGGGCAATCCTCAGACATCACAGGCTCTGAGGCGCTGTCTCGATTGCTCGCTACGATCTGGGGGCGATGCATGGACACCCTGCCTTACAGACGACTTTAACGCACTCACGCTGGAAACCTTCGAGGCGGATGACCCTCATTGGTACTGATACCAACGCTCGCAGTTTAGTTCGTAGAACACATCCCGACCGCGTCCCCCGAGCTGGTCCACCTACGGCAGCGCGCCAACTGCGCGACGCCGAAGTTGGCCGCCCTCGCCCCGCGCGCGTGGCGGGGGAGGCCCGAAGCCGAATCGGTGCCCAAGGAGGGCCGATCCTCCTGTCGGCCCACGACGGGAGGCCCGGCGCCCGCGAAGCTCACGGCAGTGAAGCGGTTCCAAGATAGGGCCCCGAGGGATGCGGCCCTGAGGATACCGCCGGACCTGGGACAGAAGAGCATCCTGCAAGCACATGAGACCCCCGGCCTGCCAAAACAAGGTGCACTCGAGGGTGCCCCGCCCCAGGATCCACAAGACCGGCCGACACGCGCGAAGAACATTCGGGTGCCCTTCCCGGACCGACCTCGATCTTATACCCTGATCCGACTGCAGGAGGGGACCCCAAGTTGGCTTCACACTGTCTGAGGCCCCACGTCCGCAGGGCCCCATCCCTCCTCCCTCCTCCCTCCTCCCTCCTCCCTCCTCCTCCTCCTCCTCCTCCTCCTCCTCCTCCTCCTCCTCCTCCTCCTCCTCCTCCTCCCTCCTCCTCCTCCTCCTCCTCCTCCCCCTCCTCCTCCCCCTCCTCCTCCTCCCCCTCCCTCCATCCCATCTCTGAACCGCCCAAACAACTTCGGACCTGGCCCTCGCCAGCTGGGCCGGCCACCCGCTCACTGGGCCGGCTCCCTGCTGCGCTGGGCGCGCTCCAGCAGGCCTGCACCCCGCGCGTCGCAGCCCAGCCGCGACCATGCCGCGGCCACCGCCTGGCGAGGGCCGGTGCCGTCGAGGCCCGCCGCCTCCATGCGCAGGAGCCACTTCTCGGCCCTGTCGAGCTCGCTGGCACGGGCGCACCTCTGGACGAAGGGCGAATTCCAGGAAGCCTGATCCCAGAAACGTCTTCACCTCCTGGGGGCGCAGCTTGTACTTCAACCGCCTTCCGCCGGCCTTCCGCTGGCCTTCCGCCGGCGGAGGCGACCTGGTCTTACTTCCGCCAACCTTCCGCCGCCCTTCCGCCGCCTTGCGCCGAGGACGAGATGGCAACTCCTTCGATCCTCGACAGCAAGGCCTTTGGGTGCGGATGGGTGCCGTCTCCTTTCGGGTTTCGCGGCGCCCATCTCCACCAAGGGGTGGGTAGCTGTGCTGCGAGAGCAACCTGGCCCTATCCCAGTTTAGGGGTTGGGGCATTTCTGGCGATGACGAACACCGGCTGATGAGGCCCACGAAGGAGTTGGGGCACGGGGTCAGGTCGACGCTCAGCGCCTCGTCCAGCCAGCGCTCCGCCTTTGCGATGTGGCCCGCGTGGGTGCAGGCCTGGATCACGGTGTCGTAGCAGAACTGGCTGGGGGGCTCCCCAGCGGCCCTCATGGCCATGAGCCAGCCCTCAGCGCGCGGCAGCTCGTTTGCCTTCACGCACCCGTGGATCACCGTGCTGTAGCTCACGCAGTCTGGCTTGACGCCCCGCCGCCGCATCTCCGACAACCACTTCTCAGCGCGGACAATGTCGCCAGCCTTCGCGGAAGCGTTGATCACAGAGTTGTAGGTGAGCGCGCACGGTTGGAGACCCACGTCTTGCATCGTGCTCAGCCACTCCTCTGCGCGCACTCCGTCTCCTGCACGCGCGCAAGCGTTTATCAAGCAATTGTACGTGACCACGTTGCCCATCACGCCCGCTGTTTGCATGCGCGCCATCCAGCCCTCGGCTCGGCGGAGGTCGCTGCTCTTGGCGCACGCGTGGATCAGTGTGGAATAGCTGATCACGTCGGCCTCGACGCCCGTCTCGAGCATCTGCTCGAGCCACCACTCAGCCCTGCTAGTCTCTCCCTGCTTGGCGCATGCGCCTATCAGGCTGTTGTACATGGAGTTCGTCGGGACGACGCCCGCAGCCTGCATTCTCTGAAACACATCCTCGGTGTCCGACACGCGGCGAGACTTCACAAGCGCGTGCACCAACATGCCGTAGACCTTGGTGCTGGCTTGGAAACCGGCCTTCTCCATCGCGAGGAGCCAATAGTTGGCCCTCGTGGCGTCACCTACACGCAAACAGGCGTCAATGGTCGTGGTGTAGCTCACAGAGTCAGGCTGGACGGCCCCCTCGCTGATAACATACTTCAGCCAACTCTCTGCGCGTCGGGCGTCTTTGGCCCTGGCGCAGGTGCCGATAATGGCGTTGAAGGTTACGGTGTCGGGCTCCACGCCAGCCGCGACCATCTTGCCGTACCACCTCTCCGAACCGTCCGCGTCGCCGCTTCGCGTGAAGGCCTTGATGATTGTGTTGTAGCTGATCTTATCGGCGACGACGCCGTCCTGTTGCATCTCGTCCATGCACCGTACTGCGCCCTCGATATCGGCCTTTCGGGCGTGCATGTTGAGCAAGAGGTTGTAGCTCATCGTGTTAGGCTTATCTCCTCGTGCGCGCATCTCCGCGAAACAGGCGAGCGCCCTGTCCACATCGCCGATGCGGTTGCAGGCGCCCAGAAACATGTTGTAGCTCACCTCGTCCACGATCCCTTGCCGTACCATGCGCTGGAGCCAATTATCTGCGGCTTCCATGTCGCCCTTCTTGGAGAGAATGTCAAGGATAGTGCTGTACGTGTTCACCGTCGGCTGAACGCCGTCGGCGATCATGCGCTCGACCCACACGGCGGCGCGTTCGCTATCCCCGCCGCGGGCGCACGAATGAATCACCGCGTTGTAGCAGATTGCATTTGGCTCCACCCCGTCGCTTCGCATGCGTTCCAGCCAAGCCTCCGCGCGGGTCATCTCCCCAGCCTTTCCGCACGCGTGAATGACGGAACAATAACTGACAACGTTAGGACTCACTGAAGACTCCCACATTGTCTGCAACCATCTTTCAGCCCTGCCTGGGTCGCCCGCCCTGGCACAAGCGTCGATGACGGCGTTGTAGCTCATTTCGTCGGGCTCGACGCCTAGCTCCGGCATTTTGAGCAGCCATTGCGCTGCCCGCTGGAAGTCGCCCGCCTTCGCGTGGGCACTGATGGTGATGTTTACACAAATGGAATTGGGCTTCCCGACGCCCGTTTTGATGAGATCGTTCAGCCAGCGCTCCGCGCCCATGGCGTCGCCCGCCTTTGCATGTGCGCTGATGAGCGCGCCGTATGCGACCACTGGCAACTGCATGCCCTTGGCCTTCAATCTGGACGCGATCGCCTCTGCAGTGGTCGCGTCACCCACCTTCGCCGCCGCGTGCAGCCGCAAGATGCCGCTGTGCACCGCCGACGAGCAGAGAGCGTCCTCAGAAACAGAAAGGTCAAAATAAGCATGAGCGTTAGGAGGCACGCGCAGACTTCTGGGATCGGCGAGGGATGCCTCTCTACGGCGCGCGTGGACCCGATCCGAGCAAGCGGCGCGGTCCGACAGTCTGTGATTACGCCGAGTTCTCTTCTTCGAGTAGTCTGGGACGCCCGAGGTTGATAGCGAGGTTCTCTCGGCTGCGCGCAAGGTAGTGGCCCTGAGCAGGGGTGATGCCTGGTGCGCGGAGTGTCGATCGTTGCGTGCGATGCGACCGTAGCGTTCGGTCGGGCATGTCCTCCCACAGGTGGGCTTTGGACGAACAAACGAAGTTGCCAAGCAAATGACCATACATGCTCAAGCATCGTCGAGAAATCGCCTCGCACGATTGAATTATTTTGGGGCTATTCTCGGGTCGGGCGAAAGGGGGGGATAGCAAAGGGGGGGTTTGAGAATCAGCTCACGTAGCTGATTTTCCCGGCGCCTCCCGGCGCCGGGAGGCGCCCGTGTATCGAGGAATGGGCCCCTCGGTGGGCCGAAACCAGCTGCATGCAGCAAATTTCGTACCCCCCCCTTTCCCAATCCCCCCCTTTCGCCGACCCGATATTCTTGGAATCTTATGCAGAGGCACGTGCCCGACCTTCGCCGCAGCGGCCTGCGTGCCTGGGTCGGGCCCCCCCCCCCCCCCCCCCCCTAAGCGCCCCCGACCAAACAGGGGGTGTGCAAGGATCGGGGGAGGAAGGGGGGAACGAGAGGGGAGGATAGCAAAGGGGAAGGTAGAGAATCAGCTCACATAGCTGATTTTCCCAGCGCCTCCTGGCGCCAGGAGGCGCTCATGTATCGAGGAATGGGCCCGGCGGCGGGGCCGAAACCAGCTGCACGCAGCAGATTTCGTAGCCCCCGCTTTCCCTATCCCCCCCCCCTCCTTTCGTTCGGTCCGAGAAGAACAGAGGGCGCCTCTGACTTCGCGCTCTCGCGCTCCGCGCGGAGCGCGAGGCATTTCGCGCTCTTCGCGCGGCCCCTCCCGGGGGAAGCGCGAGGCGAAGGATGAGGATGAGGATGAGGAGGAGGAGGAGGAAGAGGAGGAGGAGGAGGAGGAGGAGGAGGAGGAGGAGGAGGAGGAGGAGGAGGAGGAGGACAAGGACGAGGAGGAGGACGAGGAGGACGAGGGCGCCTCTGACTTCGCGCTCTCGCGCTCCGCGCGGAGCGCGAGGCACTTCGCGCTCTTCGCGCCGCCCCCCCCCCCCCCCCCCCAGGGAAGCAGAGGACGAGGACGCAGCGCGAGGCGAAGCGCGAGGCGCGAAGCGCGAGGCGCGAGTAGCTTTAGGTCGGGCATGTTCCCCTACAGGGGGATCTTGGACGAAACATTGAAAAGATGCCAGCACAAACATCCAAACACAACTCAACAGATCATCGAAAAATCGTCCCCACACTATTTTTTGACTATTCCTGAAATTTCCGTAGAGGGACATGCCCGGCTTAAGGATAGCTCCGCGCCCTCGAGGGCGCCCCCGAGAAGCATGGTGCACCCGTGGTGCACCTTCGGGGCCCCGGCGGGGCTCCCTGTAGGCCCCCGTCCTGCTACCCTCGATCCCTCCCCGCTCCCAGGATCCGAGGTCTTTTTCTTTGTCGTTCGTACAATAAGAGCTCGACCACAAGCAACCTTCCGCAAGAAACCCAGCCCTGAGACCCCAGGGACGTCCATCGATTCTTGGCGCGGGAGCGTCGCGCCTTCCATAGCAGAACCATCGAGACCCAAGAAACCCAGGGCACCCTGGAGGCAAGCAGGGTGTTTCTTGGCATGGGCTTCCACTGTACGCGGCCCCAAGAAGTCTACACCCTGCGAAATGCTTAAGAAATCATGGGTTAAGAAATTCATAGTCTCAGATTTTGAATAAAAACTCAAAATGTCTATTAAAATCTCAGGATTTACACTGAACCGTTAAGAATAATCGAGACTCTGGCCGAAAACTTGGGTTTTCTTAAGCATCGCCTGGAGTGTAGACCCTTTCCCAGGGGCTGGCCTTTCATTCCGCGTCGCTGGGCGACGGTCCTCGGGCCCGGCGAGAGCCCCCTCGAGGCCATTGAATTTTCCAACACGCTGGAGGATAGACCCCCCATCACGAGACGCCCGCGCCGCGCACCATTTTTTTTTTTTGTTCGGAGTGGTATTTGGTGCGCGGAGTGGTATTGGTTTTTTTGGCGCACCAAATATCCGGAGTGGTATTTGGTGCGCGGCGCGGGCTGCGCGGTGCGCGGCCCGCGCCGCGCACCAAATACCACTCCGGAGAAGTACCCCCAAAGTCCGGACCTCTTCTCCAGGGAGATTTCCTTTGTCCCAGATCCGCTTGTAATCATCCCAAGGCCCGAAAAGTGCCCCGGAGGGCCGAAAACCAGGGAAACAACGCCAGTTGAAAAAGTCGTATCGTCGGAAATCTTGTTTTGTGCCCCCCTGTTGCGAGACACCGAAGCCGCGCACCAAGGGTTGCCCCGGTGAAGGGTCAAATGCTGAAAGGTCCTGTGGGGGTCCTCCTTTTAAAATTCCAGAATACTAGAACACATGATCCTTGATAACTCTGGAAATTCATATCCGATTTCCTCTCCAACTCAATGCTTCTTTGGCGCGCAGGCTCGATTCACATTCGCATTCGCGCCGCGCGCGGGCCTGCAGTATGAATGCCCGTCGCAATTGCTGCTTTACTTGCCTACCGTGCGCGCTACAGCAAATAATCCTAAGCCAATTCGCGATGTACTGTAGCGAGTTTTTTCCATAGCATCAGCGTATCAGGACTGCGTAAACTCTGGACTGAAATTTGAACTCAAATGCCCTGGAGATCAGAGTGATGGGAGCCCGAGCAGCCTTACTTCTGACCCCGCTCATGCTCGCGCGTGGTAGGATGGAGGGTTAGGTCGGGCATGTCCGCCTGTAGGCGGATTTTGGAAGTTTCCTTTGTTTTCCTAATCAAAAACCGCCAAGAATAGCCGAAACATCGTCCACATCCTACTATTTGCATTTGCTACTTTTGAAGATTCCTCTTCCAGGGGGACGTGCCCGACTTAGATGGAGGGCTCGGTCTCTGGGGTCGGTACTTCTGGGCGGTGCCCAGGGGCAGCACGTGGGGGCAACTCGCTGGGGCATTGCTTGGGGGCAGTGCGTGGGGCAACGCATGGGTCACTGCACCAACCCTGCAGACGTGCTGCAGCGGATGTTCGCGTAGATTTCTGTCAATGCAAAACCCCGAAACGGCGAGCGAAAAACGAAGTGAAGTCTGAAGTCCTGGTCAAAAAACATCCGCACGAAAGTCACTTCGAAATCCAGAACGAAGTTCTCCACGACACTCCAAGCCCATCCTATTATTTTTCCAGACGAGATCCGCTCTGCGATGTTGGCGCCATGACATGGGTGCAATACTTGGGGTTAAGAAGTAACTACTGGGAGGTCTTCGTCGGAATGATAAAAGAAGATTGAGCCCCCTTGGGGGGGCTATGAAGCCAGACTGAACGGGATTCAGCGAGATTGAGGGGGGAATGAGCTTGATTAAACCGGATTTCAGACCAAGGCAGAATCCAAATTTGACCTCCCAGGAGTTGCATCCGAACTGGGGGAAATACATGCGGGCGATATTTGCCGCCCCCTGACTCTGATCTGCAAGTGCCCGGGAGACGTAGGACTCGGGTTAGGGGGACTTGGGTTGACCTGACGGGGCCGTCAGGAAAATGACGAGACCCACTCTTAAATTTGACGCGAACTCCCGCTGCAGACATCCCACGGAAACTGGACTGTCAGAACCCACGGCGGGCTCGTCAAAAAGCGTAGGCGGACACGAGTGCTGGCATACTCGAGTCTTCCATTTCCCCGAAAGTGCGGGGTGCTCCGTATTGAGAGGCCTCCTAGATGGGGTCCGATTAGATGGGGTCGGAGGATCGCGTCGCATCGTCGATGCATCATCGATGCACCCGCGATGCACCAAGCGACGTCGGCGATGCGTCCGCGGCGTTTGCGTGGAGAAAGTCGGGCTCCACATCGAGCCGCATCGCCGATGCATCGGCGAGGCGACGCGACCCTCCGACCCCATCTACTCGGACCCCATCTGGGAGGCCTCGAATACTCGTGACCGTGTTTTCCCCACCATCATGAGGGGTTGGGTCCTCGTTTTGACGAGACAGCGCCCCGCGTCTCCTCTCCTCTCCTCTCCTCTCCTCTCCTCTCCTCTCCTCTCCTCTCCTCTCCTCTCCTCCCTCCTCCTCTCCTCTCCTCTCCTCTCCTCTCCTCTCCTCTCCTCTCCTCCTCCTCTCCCTCCTCCTTCTCACTCCTCCCATCCGCCCCGTCACCTCCCAGGACAGCGTTTCGTGGCCCATAGGGAGCTCCACCGAAGGCTCCAGTGGCAGGGTCCGCATGCGTCACCGCCACCCTGGACAGCGTTTCGGGGCCCCATAGGGAGCTCCACCGAAGGCTCCAGTGGCAGGGTCCGCACGCGTCACCGCCACCCAGGACAACGTTTCGTGGCCCCGAGCTCCACCGAAGGCTCCAGTGGCAGGGTCCGCATGCGTCACCGCCACCCAGGACAGCGTTTCGTGGCCCCATAGGGAGCTCCACCGAAGGCTCCAATGGCAGCGTCCGCATGTGTCACCGCCACCCAGGACAGCGTTCGGGGCCCCATAGGGAGCTCCACAGAAGGCTCCAGTGGCAGGGTCCGCATGCGTCACCGCCACCCAGGACAGCGTTTCGTGGCCCCATAGGGAGCTCCACCGAAGGCCCCACAGGGAGCTCCACAGAAGGCTCCAGTGGCAGGGCCCGCATGCGTCACCGCCACCCAGGACAGCGTTTCGGGGCCCCATAGGGAGCTCCACCGAAGGCTCCAGTGGCAGGGTCCGCATGCGTCACCGCCACCCAGGACAGCGTTTCGGGGCCCCATAGGGAGCTCCACCGAAGGCTCCAGTGGCAAGGTCCGCATGCGTCACCGCCACTCAGGACAGCGTTTCGTGACCCCATAGGGAGCTCCACC